GGTTTACACTTGAAGAGAATGGAGAGGATCAGATTATTAATGCAATCACTGATGCAGATGTAACTAATATCACAGAGTTTAAATGCAGAAACTTAAGGCCAGATGCATAAATGATGCATATAAACAGTGCACACAACATATTTTTACATAAAAGCTGGTATTTATAAAAGAATAACATGCAGTGGGCGTGTGTTCACCTCACCTGAGGCGTGTACATGACGTAAACACACAAGCCAGCTGTGGATGATGCGATACGTTGGGCATTAAATGTGTAACCTAAAACCAGCTCCACTGATTGTTAATCCTTCTTGCAAGTTACACATCAGCACTGTAAAATGTCAATTAAGCCATCATTTCTCACCGTTAACAATCCTTGTCCTCAACTGTGAAGTACTTTCTGAAGCCTTTTTCACTGTGAGTGCTATAAATGTTTGAGATTAATGGTACCGCCGCTTTAAATAGCCACGGCCATATGTAGAAGCTGTGCGCAATGACAGCTGCTCTGGTGTGATTCGACGACTCTGTCTATGTGACACAATGCCTTTTTTTTTTGGCTATTCCTTTCATCTGAAGTCTAACGAGTGTTAATTGCATTGCAAATAAGTGTATTTAAGTTTTTTCATGGCTAACTATAGGAGTGGAAATTAGACTTCCACAGTGATTAAGAGTTGTTAAACAGAACTTAGTGCACATGCAGCATCATCTCACACATGCACATTTGCGTCTTACGATATTTGCTGTGCAGAAGGACTACAGCCACATTCTACAAGAAAAAAAAGCACCACTAGCCTACATTTTGAAGCAACGGACCTCTAAAGATCGACTCTCATGACCTCAGAAACTGCAGTTGACAAAACAATTTCAAACCAGCATCCACACACTCACTTGTTCTGGAGCTTCCATCTCTGCTTCACATTTTTTACCAGCAGATTTCATTTCCTCAGCTCCTGTGCAGTGTAGTTGTCAAGTCTCAACATGGGTGAGAAATCAGAATCCTGGGCAGCTTTAACATCTACAGTTCAGTCACACCCGAACAAACCCAATGTGTTGGTTAAGAACAATACTTGTAGTTATTTAGGCTGAAGAACCCACAGACAGATTGATAAGGTCGCAAGCACGACTAGATTTAAGGCTACCGTCCCTGTTTTTCATTTATGATGTGGCGGTTTTTTTTTCTTTCCTTTGTTTACTCTAAAAATGAAACCTAATTCTTTTTGACAGCGGCAGCTATTTCTATTCAGTTCAAATGTGGTCTGTTGTGGCGGAAACACATTAACCCGTCTCCGTCTATCTCTGAACGCAGGTCAACAAATCACAGTGATTCTAAATGTGGCAGGAGTTAGGGAAATTATTTCTGGTCGACTGCTGTTTGCTCTTCAGAAGGACCTCAATCAGCCCATCAGTCAGTCAGTCAGGAGGAAGGAGGAGAGCGGGCAGGTACATCATTTCAGGCTGTGAGTCGTTAATATGCATCGAGATTAACCGCAGCAACACATTATTTGTGATTAACAACACGTAAATGCGACGTTTCCTTCGTGTCTCCGTGCGGCGGAATCGAAGCTAACAGCTGCCGGATGAAGCGTGCCTTTTGGATTTCAGATTCAGCGTGTGTTGTGGGGTCAAGACGGTAAATGATCCTATTAAAAGGAAGGAAATTACTCTGGTCACACTATTCTCTCTTCCTGTCTTTCGACCCCTGTCCAGCTTCCTCTCCATCCATCTTTCTCATGGCCCTGTGTGGATTCCCCTCCTCCATTTTCTCTGTCATTTGCATGATGAATTGGAGGAGATAACGGCACCTGAACCGCTTCAGAGAGTTCAAC